GTTCCCAGGGAGGGGGAGGTGGAGGAGGCTTCGAGGCTGAGGTTGCGGTTATCGGTGTCGCAGTTGAGAGGCGGACTCGTGACGGACTGTGGCGCCACCTCGTTGTTCTGGTAGAGGTCTTCGGGTGGGAGGGTGCCGGATCGTCGTTGGGATGACCTTGGGAGACTGTCAGAGCCAATCAGACTGCCGCCGTCGCCACTGCTGCCGGTGCTGACCTCGTTAGTGACCTCCTGAATGGACCGGGTCCGTCGAGGGGGGAAAGGGAAGAAGGTGGCTCCGGAATTTGTGATTTCTAGGCTGTCTAAACGGGTCTTGACACTGTAGCCCGTCTGTTCCTGACCTGCACCTTGAAGGTCTAGGTGAACAGGCTCAATGTGCTGCGAGGTGATACCTTCAACCTCCAGGCGGCTATGTGCCGAGGCTAAGTAGGGAAGGAAACTGCCGGGGTTTGTGCGTCTGGAGGTAATTGAAAGTTGCAAGGTTGCCTTCTCCTCGATTCCAGCCTTTTTATTTAAAAAAACAAAGAGAATAACTGTTTAATAAGTACTGAACATATTTTACTCTCAACTTCATTGTTCATAAGAAAGGTAATTAGTTGGGTTACTTTTGCACCATGAAAAGAGACCATGGTCAGTTCTATTCAATGTATTACCTCTATCATCCGAGATGGCACAAAGGCAGGTGAGAGTGACTTGTATCGCTGACTATAGACAGGGGTAAGGCTTCCTTACGAACAACACCACAGTAATAAAAAAACATGTTTGTGTAATATGGGCCCGGTAGTAACAGAGCTTATATAAGTAGGACATAACAGGGGAAATAAAAATAAAAAAACTAAATAAGAAACTAATAAAACCAATAGTAAACTAAAAAATAATAAAACTAACTAACAAACTAAAAGTAAGCCAAGCAAAACTAAAAGTAAACTAAACTAAATAAGCCAAAATAAAATAAAGTTAAACTAGTCAAACAAAATAATCAACCGAAAAACTTATAAGTCAACTAAGCAAAATATTAAACTACAAAGAAGTAATTTGTTAGTTATGTATAGTATCATACGGCGTTGTTTGTAAGGGATCCTTATCGAAACGGGAAACGGAAATATGAACGCTCCCCTCCACTTTTACTAGGTGGCTTTACGCCAAATTTCAAGACCGATAAATATTCGCGTGCCTTAACCCTAACAGAAACTTAACTGTAACCTTCGTCTTAATACCAGCTCTGCCCTACACCTAAATCCTACCGTTAAAACGAACACAAATACTAAAACTTAAAATAATCCTGATTCTAGCCCCAACTTTGACCTTAATCCTAACCCTTAACTTAACCCTAACCCTCAGCTTAATCCTAAACCTAAGTGTCCCGGAATTTTCCGCATGCATTGCGGGCTGTTCCTCTTCCCGAGTTCTTTTGAGACGGCCATACAAGTCCTCCTTACCTAAAGCCTTTCCCCGCTTACGAGATGGCATTGGAGTCAAGCCCCCAGCTGAATCCCGGAATCTTCCCAGCCTTTCTTTCAGTATGACCACCGAAATTCCGACATCAAAAATAGAAAAAGTACCAGCCCTCTAAAATACCCTCTCCTCAGTCGAATGGCTAGCATATACGGGATATCTCCAATAGATAATCAACAGTTTTGC